AGGGCTATAACGCTGTACGGCTATTTGGCTGTAGGGCTATAGGGCTATAGAGCTATAGGGCTCTAGTGCTCCAGGGCTATATGGCTATAAGGCTATGATTCCATTCGGCTACAGGGCTATAGGGTTATAGGGCTATAGGGCTATAGGGCTATAAGGGCCATTGGGCTATTGGGCTATGGGTCTATAGGGCTATAAGGCTATAGGGCTATTCGTCTATCGGGCTATAGGGCTGTAGGGCTATAAGGGTTATAGGGCTAAAGGGCTATAGGGCTATCGGGCTACAGGGCTGTCAGGCACCCTGGCAACCGGGCACCCGTTCACCTGGGCACCCGGGCACCGCACCCAGGCTTCGGGCACCTGGGGGGGCCGCGGAAATCAGCGGCAAAGCTCTCCTACCCATATGAATCCGCTAGGACCCCTACAGAGGCAAGCTCTGCAGCGCAGGAACGTGCAGCCAGGGCGCGGCAAGAAGGGCAGGGGCACGAGGGTACAGGAGCTACAGTCGTACCGAGCTATGATATCGAGATCGGTTCGGGGAGGGTACCCTGATGTTCTTCGTGTTTGTTGGATGTTCCTGTGCACTCCAGGGAGGGTACCCACTGATGTTCTAGGTGTTTTGGCCGACGGAGGGTCTCATGCTCTTGAAGGATGTTCTTCTGGCCTAGGTCCGACTGCAATGCTGGCAGAAGTACGGCACAGCCAGTAGCAGGTAGTGGGAAAGGTGACTCAAGTTGGTCCCAGTGGGCCGCAAGTTGGCCCCGGGCGTTGGCGTAGATCTTGCCACAATGGCGTCCGCGTTGACCGAAGGTGGAGCGGGGTTCGATCGAGGGACATGTTCAGCTCAGCTGCTTGCTGAACCACGTGTCGCCAGCCTCCCACGCGAATCCCTTTGCCGCGCCTAGCACCACATCGTGGAGAAATTGGTGGAGGTGCCCCAGGTCGCTTCTTCTTGTTGCTGCGCACCCTCTCCAGCGATGTTGTCCCCCGTCGCGGCCTCCCCTTCCCCCTGCTTGAACTTTGCCCTTCGTTTCCTTGCTCCTTGCCCTCCTCTCTGCTCCACCCCATGCACCTCGCCCCTCATGTAAGTCTTTTTGCCCTCTACCCCCCTCTGTTTAATCACCTGTCTTGACCTCCTGTTTCATGGCTCAAGTTGTTCCCAGGTCTCCCTTCAGGGTGTCTTGCACTCGGCTACCAGACTGTAGCCCAACTGTCAGGAACATGTTTTTTGTTCTTCGGGGCAAGTTGCGATTCTGAAGATTGTGGCGACGCTTGTGCAGTTAGGAATGAGCACCTGCACCGAACGGATAGTAAAGTATACGATCCTCACGAAAGGTACAAGGTGGTGTCGACGACTGACTAGGCAGGCCATTACGGTACCACATTCCACGAGTTTTGCAAAGTATTGGATTCGGCCGCTGGTTGCGAGAGCATGACAAGATCGAATGTTCCAGTCCGAGACCTTATCCATACATTTACGGTCGTTCCGATGACGGAACTTACCGAGGGAGTCAATATGCGTTTGGCCACCATCACAGAATTACGAGGTATGCTTGAAGAAGGGGTCCAAGCAGGCAATGAATAGATGGAATCGGTGGTGGTGTCAAATATAGAAGAATCGCGAACAGTGTGTTAGCATCCTGGAGGAAGTCATCACAGCCAGACGGGGTGGAGGAATGGGAGCAGGAAACGAACAGGTGGCGTCCGATGCCGTTCAGCTTCTGGTCGTGGTTTGGGGACTCGGGGAGATGGGTGCCGACACCGCAGCGCAGTTCGTGTGTGCATGCGGGCCGCGCATGTTTGATTCGCGGCTGTGGTGTCACATCCCCAGTGGATGGGTGTGTGTGTGTGTGTGTGTGTGTGTGCGCGCGCCTTGCGCGCCCGATCCGTGCTGCTTGCTCGCCTTGCACCGCCTCGTCGCTGCGCTCGAAGCCACGATCGCCTAAAGTGTGTGTGTGTTGTGTGTGTGTGTTGTGTGTGTGTGTGTGTTTATGCGTGTGTTCTTGTGTGCTTGTGTGCTTGTGTGCTTGTGTGCTTGTGTGCTCGTGCTTATGTGCTTGTGTTTGTGCGTGTGTGTGTGTGTGTGTGTGTGTGTGTGTGTGTGCGCGCGGTGGTTGAGGCAGTCGCCCAGAGGACCCTGCGCGAGACAGGCATCTCGCCGTGGTCCGTTTTCCCCGCCTCTCCCGTGCCGCCCCGCTCCCCGGCTGCCATCGCGGACCCGCGGCTGCACTGCCCTGAGACGCTCCCTGCCTGCCTCACCGCGTGGACCGAGCGCCAGCTCGACGGGTGGGCTGCGATGAGTACACGCGGGTCGATGAAAGTAGGTATTAGTGGACCCTCAGATCCCAATCTATTTTTGCCGCCTGCCTACCTTAAGAGTCGAGCGGTTCTCCTTCCCCTCCCTCCTCTCCGAGCGGCGGGCGGGAACCCAAAATCTGCTTCCGACGCCTTCCTGCTTCGTGCTTCTGCCCACTTCTTCCGGCCGGCGGACATCCCCGGCCGCTGGGACTTGGTCGAACGCCTCATCAGTGGCGCCCGCCCCAGTTCAGGAAGGAAAAAAAACACACAGACACAATGAATCGCCGGTTACCCAGACAACATGGGAAAATATGGGAAGTGGGGGGGGAGACAAAAACCCAGAAAATATGGACATCTATGGGGAGTCGTTTTATCTGTGTGCATTGATTTGTGTGTCCTGGGGCCCCTTCACCAGTGGCCACCAGGAGAGGCGACCCCCCACCCACGCGCCCCTGCGGCCGCGGACCCTGCGCCCGTGCCGCCCCTCGGGCGCCAGCCCGAGCCCGCCGGGCCCTCTGCTGGGCCGGCGCCCCGTCGGGGCCATGACCGCCGCACCTCCGCCAGCGCCCGACCCCGACGCGGACCCCCGCGCTCCGACCCCGATCGATGCGCGACGCCCAGCCCAGCCGCCACTTGCTCCGCCCCCAAGGATCGGGCCGGACGACAGGGGGGGATGGGGAAAGGGGGGGCTACCAAATTTGCTGCCTGCAGCTCGTTTCGGCCCCTGCGAGGGGCCCCTTCCTCGATACACAGTCGCCTGCGGCGCCGGGAGGCGCCGGGAAAATCAGCTACGCGAGCTGATTCTTCCCCCCCCCCCCCCCCCTTTGCTATCCCCCCCTTCCCAGATCCCCGACGTAATGATTTTTTCATTACGTCGACCCCCATAGGTCCCGACCCTTTCCCCATGACCGGCTTTGCATCCTGAGTCGTTTTTTGACGCTCCCGAGGCCCGGTGAGGGCCCCCGAAGGCCGAAAACTAGGAAAAACCTCCCGTCATGATTTTTTCATTACTCGAGGGGGTCTGGGTTTCGCTCGACCCGAAAGGAAGCCCTCCGCCTGCAGCTGCCCCGGGCAGAGGCCGCGGCTCCTCCGCGGCGCAGCCAGCACTCCTCTGCCTCTCGGGGGCGAGGCCCGGGCCGCCCGCTCCGCGGCGTCGCTCGAGCTGGCACGCGCTCCCCTGCTGCGCCTGTTTGCCCACCACCACCACCATAAGTTGGAGGGGGGCAGGAGGAGGAGGAGGAGGAGGAGGAGGAGAAGGAGGAGGAGGAGGAGGAGGAGGAGGAGGAGGAGGAGGAGGAGGAGGAGGAGACAAAAACGTCCTGATTGGCGCCGCCCTGCGCCAGTTTTTCGCCACTGCGTCTACTGCTCGCCGACAGTCGGATACTGAGCCTCAGAGCTCCCGCCAGACAGCGGGCTGGTCCCCGTTTGGGGCGTGCGAGGTTTTCCGAAAAAGGTCCCTGCACGAGTCTGCCCACAGCGCAGGTCGGCCCACGAGGTGTGCCCTCGCCTCGCCGGGCGACATTCTCTGCTCGCCTGGATGTCCGCTGCCGCGGCCATCCAGGATGGCCTCCCACGTGCGCGGGATTACCGCCCACCAGACCACCCCACCCCAACCCGAAGGCCCCGATCTGCTCTCCATTTCCAGTGGTGGGGGGGTCGGGGATCATGGAACAGCACGCATGAAATGAAGCCCGTACCCCCCCCACCCGAAATTCGGGCGAAGTTCGGTCTTCGGGTTGGGTTTCGGTGGTGGGGTATTTAGTCATGGGATGAGTGCACATGCCCGCACCATGATGCATTCTGCTGCCTTTCTCAGTTGTGCAGTAGTCGAAAAGAACAAACGGCATAAACATACATTTTTGGCGCTCCGCGCGGATCTCTTGGATCGGCGCCTAGGCCCCCAGGCAGCGCCTCCAGCGCCACCCGTGGCGCGCTCCGCGCGCCTGGGAGGGGTCCAGAGCAGATCCAAGAAATCTGTGCGGAGCGCCAGAAGTTTAAGTCCATGCTGTTTGTTCTTCTTCTAAATACAGGGGAGCGCAGTGGCCGTCCAAGCAGCCGCACAGCACAGTGTGGTTTGCCACCGTGGCGTGTTGGCCAAGCTCGAGGCCCAGTTCTTGCCTGCGTTGCGCCAACAGCGTGTGACTGCAGCATAGAGGAAGATAGCAGGCATCATCAGAGTGAGGGGGCCGAACGGTCATTCATTGTCCCTGGGCGCGTGGCTGAAGTGGGGTTCCGCGATGCGGGTTGTTGCTGTTGTTGCTGTTGCTGTTGCTGTTGCTGTTGCTGTTGCTGTTTTTGTTGATGCTGTTGCTGTTGCTGTTGCTGTTGCTGTTGCTGTTGCTGCTGCTGCTGCTGTTGCTGTTGCTGTTGTTGTTGTTGTTGTTGTTGTTGTTGTTGTTGTTGTCGTTGTTGTCGTTGTCGTTGTCGTTGTCGTTGTCGTTGTCGTTGTCGTTGTCGTTGTCGTTGTCGTTGTCGTTGTCGTTGTCGTTGTCGTTGTCGTTGTCGGTTGTTGTTGTTGCTGCTGCTGCTGCTGTGCTGCTGCTGCTTGTGTTGTGTTGTTGTTGTTGTTGTTGTTGTTGCTGCTGCTGCTGCTGCTGTGCTGTGTGTCTGTTGTTGTATGTTGTTGTTGTTGTTGTTGTTGTTGTTGTTGTTGTTGTTGTTGTTGTTGTTGAACATTATTATTTCTAAAGAATAATTATTGTTGGGACCCCTGGTGCATGGCCCCCCCGCCGCGCCTAGGCCGCAGCCACATTTTCATCATTTTCGTGAGGAAGTCTCAGGCAAAACGGGTTGGTCCGGATCCGGTTGTTTTGTTACGGCCCGCTTTCCCTTGCAAGAAATAAGCTAAAATGGACATTTCTTCTTCTAACATAACCAAACTTCAAGAATCCCTTGCAAAAAATAAGGTAAAGTGGACATTCGCGCGCGCAAGACGAAATCCTTCCAAAACCTTAGTTTTCGTAGCGATTTTAACATAAAAACATCAAAAAGCCAATGTTTTTTTTTTTTTTTTTTTTTTTGTCAAAATTTCATCCCGCGCGCTCTTGCGGATTCGTAGGGAACCCAACACTTTTTAAACATTTCTGTCAAACGGGCTTTTGCGAGCAACTTTTTCGAACTTCTGCGACAACGGTTGCGCACCTGCCAGGGCCATCATCCCTGTCAAATAATACCATGCGGGACACATTCGTTTTTCTTCGCGCGCGCACGCCGTCGTCGTCGGCCGCGGGGCCCTGAATAGTAGCCACGGTCGTCCGCATGCCACGAAGTGAAGTGTCCGAACGTCATAGGGCGGGAAGCTGGGTGTGGGTGGTGGCGAAGAGTCGTTTGGAAATTTGGTAGAGCTTGAACCGGCCCCCACAAAGTGGGGGCATTGCCCGCCTCCTATGAAAACCCTGGCACTGGTGAGAACGGAGTGTCCCCACGTGCTAGTAATTGTTGTTGTTGTTGTTGTTGTTGTTGAATATTATTACTTCTAAAGAAATATTATTGTTGAGACCCCTGGTGCGCGACCCCCCTCCAAAACCTAGGCCGCAGCCTCATTTTCTTCATTTTCTAGCGAAAGCTTCAGAAAAGTGGATTGTCACCGGATCCGGTTGTTTTGTTGTAATCCGTTTTCCCTTGCAAAAAACACTATAAAATG